CTGTTTGTGAACAGAAACAAGTACCAGCAGCAGTGACCTTTCCACTTTGTAAATTTGCCTTTGACATGAACTGGAACAAAGACAGAACTTCTACTAACCAGACCTTCCTGGCAGCAGGTTTCTGTAAGAACACAAGTTCTCACGACACCCTCCACACCAGTTTCTGTAAAGTCCTCTATAAATAGGTCTCACTCTCCAAGAACACAATCACGTCTTTCCCAGGCTGAAGACTCCTACGGTATCTCACAAGCTACTCCAAATTTTAGGTCAATCCTGACACCCTTTGCTGCACTCATTTTTCCAGCTCCGGCATACGAAACGTTACGCAACTTCAGCCCAGTTTCAGAGGCTGACTTGTGCCCTTGCTCCCACCACAGCAGCTAAGCCAGACAGTGGAGGGAGCTTCTCCCCATTTCACAAAGCCCTCGCCATCATATGATTAACCCTTACTCACAGGAAAAGTCCAATTAATTTCAGTCACACTACTCCTATGATGCAGGATTATTCACTGGAAGACTGTTTGCCAGCTGGGCCTGAAGTTTTAATACAAAGCATATTGCCTCAGAACATTTTGTCTCTAAATAGTTATTAGACAGCGCTTAATTAGTATTTAAATAAAACTGCCCCTCCACAATTGCTTATTAAATACTGTTTTGATCAACAGACATTGTTTTTCAGAAGCCACAGCAGACATTTTGACTACTGAAGGACAGAGTCAGGATGGATACACTTGCTTCTACCGCTGTGCCAGAAATGTAGCCATTTCAGATAGAAGTGTGTTTTTAATGAGCAAGCCTGTTACCTGCTGAGCATGCCAGTAGAAGCAAGTTTGTAACTGAGCTGTATTCTGATGACAAACATGCAAAGTAGAGCCACAGAATCCCAGCCTGGTTTCTGTTGGAAGGGACCTTAAAGCTCCTCCAACTCCAACCCCTGCCACAGGCAGGGACACTTTCCACTAGAGCAGCTTGCTCCAAGCCCCTGTGTCCAACCTGGCCTTGAACACTGCCAGGGATGGGGCAGCCACAGCTTCTCTGGGCACCCTGTGCCAGCGCCTCAGCACCCTCACAGGGAAGAGCTTCTGCCTAATGCCTAAGCAGCCCCGATAACGTCTTACTGAGGCTTTATATTTAGAGCTGCCTGTGGCAGCCTCCCCTGACAGAGCACACAGACAGTATCCCATTTTCTGGAACAGCACTGGATTCCCACTGCAGTACTGAGCAATGCACATCCCAGGCAACAGCCCTTTGCATCTCTAAGTCCAGAAGGACGCTCCATGAAACACAGCTATGGAAGCAAGATCCCACTAAGCATCTGGATATTCCAAGCTAACTTTAAAACCTTAACTTCAGACTGAAGTCTAAGTATTCCAGGTGAGGGGAAGGCAAAGAACACTTTCTGGACATCACTGATAAGAGAGGATCGGTTGCTAAAATGCTTTTAGGAAATATCTTCTGTAAAAGGATTCAGAGGCAACAGTGGCACCTGACATCTCTCTAAAGACTGCCTACAGTCAGCAGGAAAATAAGCTCCAAGTCATGAACTGTTAAAGCAGCGTGAATCAGTAACACAGCAGGCAGAGCTCTGCTTCTCCGGGGTGGGGAGATAGTGTTCCTTCTGGAACAAAAGGCATGGCTGTGGGGAGAAGCACCATTTAACCAAAGCCAAACAGAATCCCAGTGGATCACAGCTACTTCAGAACTGTAACCCTCCAGTCAAGAACGTTTGCAATTCCCACCCAAAACAAAGCCTGTGATAAAAAAAAAAACCTATCAACTTGTAACAGCAGAAGAGTTTGAAAGATTTGTGATCCACCTCACTGCCAAAGACTGAGTGAATTCCCCTCAACAGCTGATTCAGTTTGTGCAGGTTTTGGTTTTGTTACACTGAGAAAGCAAACCATCAGCACCAGTCTCTGTAATTAGTAATCCAGACTACTGTAGCTCTAACACTTCATAAATCCTGAGGGGAATATGACAAAGTGAGGTTACAGGGTCAGTGGTGCTAGCCACATATTGCAGTCACTATTTCCTTTCTCAGTATGTGTCACTGGAACATAAATCCTCACAAATACTAGCATCATCTAAAATAAATCACCTAATAATTTACATACCTGTTGTATTTAAAAACTACTTTGTTGCCTTTTTTTGCAAGTAGAGCCAAAACACAACAAAACCCGACAGTTTCATACACAGCACCACATTACAGGTATGGATTCCTCCCACTAAATTACATAGGAGATGAAAGGGTTGCACATTAAACTCATTATTAAACCCACTTGCAAAAGAATTTTGCTAAACTTATTTCAATGATATTACACACCCAGTTCCAATTTAACACTTCCCTGGTCCGGTAAGGTAGGAACAAATAAGAAGCTCTAACCACAACAGCTGTGAAATAACTCCACTGTGTGATTTATGCTCACTGCGCACCAACAAGTATTTTTACCAGTGACAGACTTGCAGATGCAACTACGTGGAGAGTTTCACTTCTCCAGAACACACCACTCAATTCTGCATTAACAAATGGGGACTTCACAGCCTTCCTGTAAAGGACAAGCCACTTACTCCCTTGCTCTGACAGCCAAAGACAATTGTCTCCCTCACACTTACTTTATTTTCCTTACCAAGAGCAGCATAACCGCTGTAACAAGTCCTGCACCTCAATACAAACAGCACTGCTATAAACTTATAATTATTACAAAATGCTAGCAGGCAGAAAAGCACAGATACAGCTTTATCTAATGTAACAGTTCAATAAACAGCCAAATATGAACTGCATTTATTCTAATGGAAGAGGAAGAATCCCCAGGCCAGTATCTAACAGTCACTACAGCTCTTGTCCCAGATTCTTAAAAGGTATAATAAAACCTAAACATACATATACTAAAAACACACCAAACAAAAGGGCAACGTAACAAACATACAACAATAAAAGGTTTAAAAAGCATAAAACAAAACTGCAAACGATCAAGTGTCTTTTTTCCCTCTGAATTCCTGTAAAAACAGATCTCCTCCTTTCTGTTACAAAAAAGACAACACGTGCTCCCACCTCCAGCACTGGCAGAGCTCTGATGCAGGGAGGGGGTATCCACCACATGCACTATCCACAAACTTGCACTACAAGTTTTTGATCTCCCTGTACCATTCCATGCCCCACAAAAGTCCCGCCTTCCCTCCAGCATTATCCCTGCACACAGCACTTGGAAGGCTCTTGATGATCAACTTGTCCTCTCCCTCACACAGCTGCTGCCCAGCTAGAAGGGATAACATCCCTGTGTGTGTCAGGTAAACTGAAGCAAAGTATCTCGCAACGACTCTGCCCTACACAGAAACAAGCTGTTTTCTTGTTTGAAATCACAACTCCATAGCTAGCCAAAACTGATACCGTACTTTCTGCAACATCAAACCACAAGATACGCGTAGGAAGTTGTCAGTCACCAGGAAGATGGGCAGACAGCATCTATGCAAACAAGCTCTGCAGCACACTACATTTCCAACCACTGCTTTTCTTCAGAGAATCAAAAATTAAAAGGTTTTGGGTTGGGTTTTTTTTTTTACCTCTCGCCCCCAAGTACGATCGATGCCAAGAGGAGACCACGCTGTAACAAGGACTGACGTGCAGGCAGGAGAGCCCCGAGCCCAAGTCCGACAGACAATCACTCTACATGACTGTCTACTGTTGCTGAAATGGCGTTTGTCATTGTGGAAGGAGAGAAAAACCCCGCAGCCGGGTAGGCACAAAGCAGGCAGGGCACGGAGTGCCAGGGGAGGCGGGGAGAATGCTGTTTACCAGGGAAGCCAGTGGGATGAGCAGGCAGCACCGGCGGGGTGGGGGGGGAACACCGGAGGCGCTCCCCGGCTCAGAGGAGCGCACCAGCCCGAGCCCCGCACACACTGGCGGCGAACCACGTTAAAGAGGAAAATAAACACGGGGAGCCGGGCCGGGGGAGGGGCCAGCGGAGGAGCAGCCCCGAGGGCCCCGGCTATAAAGCCCCCGGCAGCTGCAGGCAGCCGGTAAACCCGCCTCCCCCCGGGCACTCACCAGCGAGAAGAGGTTGGAGTGGCAGTCCTCCAGGCTGGCCCCGTTCGCCACCCAGTTGGCCGCTGCGGTCATGATCCTCGGCGAGCCCGGCCGCCAAAGCGGGGCATGTCTGGGCAGACGGGCGCGGCGCGGGGGGGGAGCAGCCGCAGCCGCTCCAAGGGGCCTCCGTCGGACGGGGCGGCCGCCGCGCTCCGGGTGCGGGTCCCGGTACGGGCTCGCGGGTCAGGGTGGCGCAGCCGGCAGGGGGCGCGCGGCGGGAGGGGGGGCTCCTCACGCCGCGGGGCCAGGTCCGGCGGGGAGCGGCGGCGTCTCGGTCCGAGCCCCTCAGCACGCAGCGGGGAACGAGCGTCCTCCGGTCCTCCAGGCCGCCTCAGCGAGAAGAACGGAGCGGGGGGGGGGGGCCTGGGGCCCTCCTTCCGCGTCCAGGGTTGGCCCCCCCCCGGCCAGGGCACACGTTGCGGCGGAGGGGAAGGAGAGGGGAGGGTCTCCTCCCGCGGGGCACGGGCCGGGCGGGGGGACGGGGGAGGGTCCCGGCCCCGGGCAGTGGCGGCGGCGGCGGGCGGGGGGCGCTGTCTCGCGTGCCGGCGGAGGCCGTCCCCTCCCCTCCCCGCCCGGCCGCCCCTCGCTGCTGCCGCCGCTGGCTGTGGGTGGATGGTGTTTTCCTCCTGCTGCTGCTGCTGCTGCCGCTGCCGCCGCTGCCTAATCCCTGTCCCTCTCTCCATCGCGGCGGCCGCCAGCCCCTATCCCGGTCGCCGGCGGAGGGCGGGGGCCCTGTCCAGGTCCGCGGTCGCGCGGCGGGAGGGCGCCCCGTTGCCGCCGCTACCGCCGCCGCCTCTCCCCGCGTTCCCCAGGGCGGCCGCGCTCCCGCAGCACCTGCCGGTTCGCACAACGTACCCGCGGGGCAGCCCCGCCGAGCGCCCCGGGAAAGGGCGAGCTCAAGTTCCGCACAGCGCCTGCACCGACAGCGAGGACGGTTCCGGGCCGGTATCGGCTGAACCAGCCGCACGGACACCGGCAGCGGTGGGCTGAACGAAAGGAACTCGACAATACTGGAGCTAAACGGGTGAGATTCATCCATCCATAGCGCCGGTGGGGAACAGAGAAAGGGACAGACAGGAAAGAAAAGGTAAATATTAAACACGTCCAAAGACAGAACCGAACCGGACCGGACCCGAGCGGTGCTTCCCCTGCCCGCAGCCCCCCTCCTGGGAGCGGGCACCGCTCGCTGACAGGATGCTCCGCAGGTGACACAAAGCAAACGTCCCAACTTTGCTGCTTAAAGATGAAGATTCTGTAACAATCCAGCTCCAGTTTAGCTGTGAAATTCACGTTCTCAGTGGGAAACCCCTGTGCTCCGCCGCAGCTTTCCCTATCTGATTTTAATCTTACTCAGGCAGCTTTTCTGCAATTTACTTTTTTCTTTGTAGTAATTTCAGATTAGCGTTTACCCTAACAACTGAACAGCATTTGCTCTGCCTTCCCTCACAGCACCAGGTCTCTAACACAAGCCAGGGTCTCAGTATTTACATGCACTATATACACAGAGTGACAGCACTTGGGCCAAAAGAAAACATCCACCACGACCAGTGTTCTTACCACTCACACTCCTCATTTGACTAATTCACTCCATTCCCTTCCCCATCACACTGAGCAGGAATTCTGTCTGGCAAAGACTGGGCCGGTAGCAGTGGGAGGCACAGTGTTTTCAAACACAAATTAAATATTCCCTTCCAGTTATGATTGCAAATTGTGTATTTTTTTACACATACTGCTTGGCCAAAGCAAGCCCGGACTCACCCCAAGGGGAGGGGAGACTTTCCCCCTCCTTCAGTCCATCCAGGAGAACCAAAGCAGCATGAAGATGCTGTAAAAGCGAGGACCAAAGCTCACTAAGGAGCCAAACTGCCACTGCTGCAGCCTGGCAAGCCCCAGCCAGGGCACTGCTTTGGACCATGTTACTCCCTTTCCTTTCGTCAACACGTCTTGTAAACAGAGACCACAATCTGACACTTGAAATGTGTCAAGCAATATATACTAACCAACCCAAACCCACATCCTTCCGCAGCAAACCAGCTCTTGGTAAACACACTGCGGTGTCAGTTGTCTGTCTGATAACTACACCAGGGTACAACAAACCTTTGAGGAGGTATCCAGTCAATTTCTGGGATAAAGGAATATCCCCCATCATGAAAAAAAATATATTTTCTTATTATAGAAATATTTTGAAATAGAGACTTAGACGCTGCAGAATTCCTGCTTCCTCCATATGCTGCTTACCCTCCAACTGGTATTTCCAGTTGTCAGCATTCTTCTTCTGGGTCTTCCAAGTAAGGATGACTTATTATGCTCAATTTTCTCACAAAAATGTGGGGTCTAACACATGATTCAGAGCTGTTTGCATGGGCAGCAATGTCAATATGCTCCCACTCGTCAGCAGTGCCGCTCTCCAGGTTTCTCGTGAGCATTAACTATTCTTGAAATTAAAAATCTTTTAGTATAATTAAATTACCTGTCAATGAAGTTGAGGAGCTGCTGCTTGCAGTCGGGAAGGGCTACCAGTCAAACGTGTTGACCACATCCCTGCATCGCAAAGTTCACGTTGGTTTTAAACTGAAAACAGATGGCATCTCAAGTGGTTTGCCAGTTACTTGACGTTATATTATGTTCAGTTATCACAAAGAGGAGGAATCATCACGCTCTAATCATTCACCTCACAGTAAGAAAGGAAAAGCTCCCTGGCTGTCCTATGACAACAGTGTTATTTAAAACACAAATGGTTCCACTTACAAATATCTCATACAAGTGACACTTCCTCATGCACATCCTAGATGGTATGTGGCAGAACGTGTTCCTCAGCTCAGAGTATTCAAGCTTTGTTCCCTGTTGTCTTTTACTTCTTTTGAAGAATCAGTCCATGAATATGACCAACAGCATTGGGATTTATGCTTTAACAAAATGACCATTTTCCCACAGTGGCAATATACAGGAACTTCTTACTTAATTCTGCCAGTGTATCACGATATGACTGACAAGCTGCAATTCCAAAGCTGAGATGCAAAACGGAGCTCCTGGAGATCCCTGGATCCCACTTAGCATTCACCACGCAGAGCTGGTACAGACTCTGGGAAGGAGCTGGTTACCTCCCCTTACAAAATCATTCCAAAGGGTGATAGGCCAGTTATTGCACTCTAGAACAACTCACCCAGAGCTTGCAGTCATGATCAAACCTGTTCTGCCAGGAGGATGGCTCAGAAGTTCCCTAGACTTTGTTTTCACCAGCAGGTGTTGCTTATGCTTCAAACTAAACATGGAGGGAGAAACAAAGATGTCAGGAGGCTAAAGCAAAGCTAGAATGCCAAGCAGTTGCTTGGGTTGATTCAGTCTTTGTGTACAACTACTTTGTTCTACTTTCACATAGCTCCGAGTCATGAAAGGAATATTCACTTGAGGTATCCAAGTGGGTTGAGCATCAGATTCAGACAGGGCTCTCCCAGCTCTGGGTACGGACAGTTTGGCCTTTCTTCCACCAGTAGCAGAAGTGGAGCTCAGCCAAGCTTTGCCAGTGTCAAAAAGAAGCAGTGTTTGACATTTCACGTCAAAGGCATCTCATTGCTAGGTAAAAGCTATTTTTCCATGTGTCTGAGTTAGACACAGCATCTCAATTAGTGTCATTTTTACTGGTGTCTAAAGTTTCCTCCCCAGTAGCCTACAATTCCCAGTAAGGGAAAGGACAGGGTGGAGGAGAATGACTTGAGCCCCAAATTATGAATAGAATACAAGGAAATGGTCTGTAACAATTCTACATATTAAAAAGCAACAAAGAAAATAACTTTCTTTACCCCCGCTCCTGAGTTGCTCTTCAATGCATTCTACTCAAGGTAGTAATTTCATTGGTGATTAATAAAACTTGAAGAACTTTGCAAGTATCTATGATAAAGAACCAGCCTTGGGTGCCACGGTTTAGTGTGAGGTGTCCCTGCCCATGGCAGGGGAGGTGGAACTGGATGATCTTAAGGTCCTTTCCAACCCTAACTATTCTATGATTCTATGATTTATGTATTTTGTTATTGCATGCTCTTGTACTACAGTACAGATGAGCAGTCCCATTTCAGGTGTGCTTCCAGTGCTCTCACTGTCTGCTTTTCACGGTGTTGCATTAATTTCTTACATTGCTGCATTAATTTCTTAAGTGTTTGTTAATTCATCCAGTAATTACATTTTTGGTCAGGTTTATAAATAAAACCTCATTTTGGTTTTAAATTAAAAGCCTTTCCTTCCACAAACTGAAGACTTAAGAGGCAAAAATACCCCAAACAACCGAAGTAGTTCACTGGCATAAAGAAATAAACAGCATCTAATTTTAACACAAAACATGACTAGAGATTTTCACACATTAAATCCATACTGTTTTGTGAGGGGGTTTTTTAGACACTGATAATCTACAGATTGCCTGCAAACAAATATTTTCATTTTATTAAGGCACAGCAATGGTTCCATTAGTAAGCTTATTTATTCCTGGTAAAGATAACAAATTCCCTGAGTTTTAAAATAGGGTATTGATTTTCTGAAGGGATAGGTAATTCTGTTGAAGAGGAAAATAGATACATAAGTAGAAGAGCTGTTTGTAAGGCCCACAGTTTAAGCCCTGCTAGTGACTAGACTCTGGGTTTTTGAATTAGTCATCCTCGCTCACCTTCAGTATCAAATAATACTACAAAAGAGGCCCATGTAATGTGTTTACACTGTCCCTTACTATAGAAATAGCTAGAGAAACCAAGGATATTTGGAACCAAAATTAGTCACATGGACTATTGTACAGCGCACAAAAGCAAGTCAAGCACAGCCCATGTGATTCCAAACCTTCCCAGGTGATGGTAGCTGAGGTTTGGAGAGCTCTACCATTCATCAGCATCTCAGCATCGTCCTGACAGCAGCAGGAGCAGAACGAAGAGGAGACCAAATGCAGGCTGCTGCCAGATGTGAGGCCAGAGCCCGCAGCAGTTACACTGCAGGGATTTCCAAATGCCTTTCCCAAGTAAACAGCTTCCGTTGACGAAATCTGTTGATGTCACTGGGAGCACTTGGAGGAAGGAGCTTCTCACAAGGCACAACTGTTTCAGGGTCAGGACTGGGGTGTCAGAAAAGCACACACATGGTAGAGGTCAGTGTTTCAATGTGTCTCTTGAGAGTTACCCACATAAAAATCCCCTGAAAACTACTATATTTGCTCATATGAATACTGTACCACCAATATCTATAAAGGAGCACTGTGAGGAAAGATTAATGACCTGGAAGGCTGATTTGGGGAAGTTTTCCCACCTACAAGATAATACTGAAAGAAATCTGCAAACTGTTGTAGAGGACTTAGATCAACTGCAGGTCATATCATTAGGGAAGTGAAGAGAGAAAAAGTTCAAGTTAATAGGTGAGTCATAATGACAAGAATGAGAAGTTTAAGCTTACCCTGGTGAAGCAGATGTAAAGCTGCAATGGACTTAAAAGAAAGTGCTCCTGTATCTTTATCAAAAAACAGACAAATTACCCCCGTAGCTCCTTGTTCTCTGGATTGTAAAAGACAGAAGAGAGGCAGGAAAGGAAGCAGTGGTAGGTAAGAGGAGCCTATACAAGGTCTTTTGCCATCTAGAAAGAGAAAAGGTCACCTCTTACTGTACGGATGAAGCAGCAGCAGGAGTTGAGTGAGAGCGGTGGAGAGTGGTATGAACAGAGGAATGAGCAGTGAAAGGAAGGAAGGAGTCAAAGGTGCCTGACTCGTTACAGACAGCAATACTGGTAGCATGGTGCCTTTACTAGTGATAGAAGTGTGAGGGGCTCGGGAAAAAAGGATGCCTAAATTTGCCTGTTTCAAGTTTAAATTGCCAGCAACTAATTCCAAAAGAGACAAGGAAGGCTGCTAGAAACGTGGCTGTGGATGGGAGGATAAAACCAGTTCAGGAGCAGAGTAGATTGGTTTCTTTCCTACATCATGGTGATATTTAGATGACATTTCAGGTATAACTGGTAGGGATGAAGCAAACAGCAAAATGCAAACTGTTACCTTCAAGAAAATGTAATGCTAAAAAGAAAAGTTGTTGAAAATCAGAGTAGATAAGATTCAAAACTAAAGCTTTAGGCAGCCCCGTAGATGATGTCCCATTTGACTGTCAAACACTATCGCTGTGATAGCAAGTTTTCACTTGTGCTTTCTAAAGGCCCTCTGTGCCACAGAGGCCTTTGAGCACTCAAGGTGTACGAGGTCTAAACCTCAGTAGAGCATGAGCTGGGCAGCAGACTCCTGCAAAGGCAGCTACCAAAGGGAGACAAAGGGAGCATGTTTATTTTCAGCTGGAGGTGAGGAACGCTTCTGTGCACCAGCATGCCCTCTTGGCTCCTGTGAGACACAGAAATGCTCATTTAAATACTCCAGAGAACCAAAGCAAATGAGCTGCTTGGAAAACCAGAAAGAAGCAAATGACAACTGAAACTCTTCAGGAATAAAAGGGGAGAGGGATTTAGGCAGAGCAAAATGGCAAATGCTTTTTAATTGTAAGTTATTTTTGCACTCAGAAGAGGGAAGAATTGTGATGTTGGCTCGATACCTTGCATTACAAATCAACATACTTGGGTTTCTGAAGGATTTAATAATCTAACATGAAGCTCCTACTAGCCCTCCAGGCAGAGGATGGGCCTGTTGGGTCATGGTTTCATACCATCAAAGAGATAGATTTCATCTTTCAGATGTTGCTGTGCTCGCTTGGTAAGAATTCAGCTTATTAAGAGGTGTTAAATAAGATACAGGATAAAAATACTACAAGAGACAAAAAAAAAAATAAAAGATTTAAGGCTAAAAGGCAAAGTAAATATGGAAATAACATTTGGCAAAGACATTCTGGGAACAAAACTCCAAGTTGATTTATTGGAACAGATCAGAGGGTAACTCTGGATGGGTGATGCAGCTCGAGGTGCTGTGACCTTGGAAGCAGCCAGTGGGGCAACACCCCACGCTGCACAAGTGGAATGTGCAGCTCTTGGCATGGGAGCTCCAATATTCAAATTGCCCCATAGATCTGAGTAGAGTTTTCAGTGTTTAAGAATCTTATTTTATCTGGATTAAAGTCCTCTTCCCCCTTGGCATGAGAAGGTGTTTATGGCTGTAAAAACAAGAATTGCAAAATACTGCCTTGAAATATAGATGGATTTCTGCTGCCAAACTGACGAGGTTTACTTTGCAGCTTCAAATTGCAGCAGAAAATCTCTGCCAGGGACAGTGTGGCCTTTCTAGACAAAGTGTGGGCAAATGGCACATCAACTAGATCACTCCAGAATTTCTTTTTGAAGTCTAAAAGTCATTTTGCTTTATGGTGGGAAAAGATCAAGTTCTTCTTCTAAGCCCTAAGAAATCTTTACTTTTTTTTAAGTCATGCTCAAGTTGTGTTACAAAAGAAGACAAATAAAAACTATGGTTTATGCTGTGTGATCACTGACCACATTAGAGCCCCTAGCTCTGTCTTCTGTTATCTTCCAGCTCTCCTCCGCTCATACTAATTCTTTCTTTTATAGAGTTATTGTTCTTCTTGTTGCAAACTGTGCCATTTCCCAGCTGCAGTTTTAAGTCCATCCAATAGATTCCACAGTCCTATAAAGTGAAGCACTAAGAAGAAGCTTAAAGTAAAACCCAAACAGATTTGAATTTAAAATGTCATGTTACCACTATGATCTAGAAGAAGGAGCTGATAACTCTCAGCTACAAGTTATTTGGCTTTTCTACTGATGACAGGGGGTCTGATCCTGCAGTTGTAAGAGTATAAAAGCTCTGTGAGAGTTGACTTTAGCACATCCTTACCATTGTTTGGGGGTTTGATTGAGCTCTTTCACACACTGTTGGAAGAAAGAAAACCAGGATCCTTTAGAAGACAGAACAGTCTCCATGCTCTCAAAGCTTTGGCTAGAGCATTCCCGGATGGATATACGGAACGAAATATCACTATCTGAAAAGGTATGAGAAACTCTTTCTAGATGACAGCTCTAGAACTTCATGCCTTTAGCAACCAGTGTGCAGATTCTTCACAAGGAAAGGATAACTTCAGTATTTCGCTGTACATAGACCCACCACCCACACTCAAGTCCTTACAGGCACTAACAGATTCAAAATGCCAGTTTGCTAGTTTTAACTCTCCTCTTTCCTCTGGATTTATTTTACTTATCATTAAATGTGTATCTTACTGTGGCACTCCCACAGTTTACACTTCTGGGTGTCTGAGGCTAAGAAGTTGGGTTGCAAACTGATCTGAGAGGAAAGTGTTAAAGAAGTTTTGGATCAGAGGAAGTTCCTGCTGTACCCTGAGCAAAACAAGCCATAGGTGAGCACTTATGAGATGAAGAGAAACCAGTCTGAAGCAGATGCCATTGTCATGGGCTTCACCATTGGAAGAGTGGTTAAGGTTCAGGCTCGTATTGCTGAAAATAAGCCATCTAAAACCTAAACAAGTCAGAGATGTACTGACAGAAATGCAGGGGCTGTGTCCATGCATTCCACTCTGAGCAGGCGCACACACACACCTCAATATCTGCAGTAATGCTTGTATTCTTCACTGGTTTTGCCTGTTCTCTCTTCTTTCTTTGCTTCTTCCTACCCCATTCCAAACTGGGAATCTGAACAACTAGGGAGGACCCACTGGGGGCTCACCAATAATAATGAGATTGAATAAGAAATGTTCTGGTTTACATTCTGTTTCTGCTCTGAGCTCATTAAGGCCCTTTTGTTCCAAACCTTAGTATCAGGATTTCCCTTTGGCCACAAAGCTGTCAGGTTCACTTACTGCTCAGTTATAAAAAATGCAAATCAAAGCAAATAGCAAAATGTAGCTAAATTCTGCCTTTAAAACACATCCAAATTGTATTGTACTGGGAAACAAAAACATATGAAAGGTGAATCGCTGTGAAAGAGCCAACCATTAAAATAATTCTCTGGGTAGCTTTGATGCTCATTTTCTTCAGTTGTAAGCATTCAGCGATCCATCAGCTGCAGATAAATGTGCTGAAAGCTTTTGCTGAAATTACAACAAGGAATAGAAGAATCAGAGACACAAGACGTCCATAGCGCCCTGTGTTGATATCGCTGGTTCCAATCCCTGTCATATGAAATAACTGATTTCTCTGAGATTTTAAGGTTTCAACCTAATTTTAAAAGGAATTAGAGGGCAAATCCCACTTCACCACCATTCCCACTATCAAAAGGTGAAAATATTCACCTTGTAAGAAATTATACTCAGATATAATAAAATATTTCAACTGGTTTTAATTTAATCAACAGCTTCCTTGATTCCTCAAGAACCTGGCCATCGCCTGAAATGTTTGCTTAAAGGGAACCTTCTTTCAGGCTGCTGGGCAAGCTTAGAGGTATCTGTTCTGCCTTCTGCTTTCCTGCAGCCCAGTGAACACTGCTTTGGGGGATTCCTCTGACACTCATTTCCACAAGGAACTGAAATGGTTGCCTGTATGTGACATATAAAGAAAGGAATTACACAGTGATATTGTTTTCCTATGTGGAGGCTAATGCCTAATTTAAGACTTACAACCTAATACCTACAGATCAACTCACTGCTAATTCTTCCTTTGCCTGAGATTTTTATGCAGAAAAGCAATGAAGAATTGGAATGGATTTGCAAAGCCAGAAGGAAGGAGTAACAATGCCCTGGTCACATCAGGAGGGTGCTTTCTGCTCCTAATCCCATATCTGTCAATGCCTTCTCCTGGTTTACCTGCGCTGCCTGCTTTGCCTAAGAGGCAGCAGCAGTTCATATGAGCAACTGTATTTCCTGCAGCCACAGCAGGTCCTGCTCCAGTCTAATCAGGGATGACCTTCAGCTTTCTGGCACATGGACCTAACATGGGCAAAGATCAACTCTGCTGATTTAAGCAAACCCTTCTGCTCCCATTAGGGAAGAAGCAGTGTTTGTACTTGCTGATTATTGCACATTTGTTGAGGCTTTGTGGAAACAAACTTATTCTGAAATGCAGTTTGGTTTTTTTAGTCAGAAGCATTGTTGAGTGCTGCTAACAGATTTTGTTCAATGATTGACAAAGCTACAAGTCTCAGCACACTGCAGTGTCTAAATCCTATCCTAGAACTCCAAACTAATACAGTATTTGACAAAACACAGTTGGTGTTGCGAAGTTGTATTTGGAAGAAATATTTTGTGTAAAATCTGAACTAAAATCATAGATGTAGAGTTTGAGGAAAATGAGAAACTTCAGTGTAAAAATGCTACTGACTCTCTAGGTTGGTGTCTTAGTGTTAAGCCAGTATGATGGACTGTATGGATGCACGCAAATCGTCATTGGGGTGGTGGTGTAAGTATACTCAAACTTTACTGAAGTTCCACAGGATGCAGACCACTGAGCTGCAGGCTGAGCACATCCCCAGCCTACAAGAAACCTGGAGAGGGGCTTGGGACAAGGGCCTGGAGGGACAGGCCAAGGGGAATGGCTTTAACCTGCCAGAGGGGAGACTGAGATGAGCTCTTAGGCAGAAGCTCTTCCCTGTGAGGGTGCTGAGGCGCTGGCACAGGGTGCCCAGAGAAGCTGTGGCTGCCCCATCCCTGGCAGTGTTCAAGGCCAGGTTGGACACAGGGGCTTGGAGCAAGCTGCTCTAGTGGAAGGGGTCCCTGCCCATGGCAGGGGTTGGAACTGGAGGAGCTTTAAGGTCCCTTCCAACCCAAACCAGACTTTGATGTATGAGTTGGGCACACCACCCCCGTGTGCTTGTGATACCTGCTAAAAGGGAAGCCTCCCCATCCCACTTCTCAGTGTGCAATGTTATATTCACTTATCAGGATATTACAGACTTGGAAGATATCAAAACTGAAGGAAGGAATTGGGAGCATGAGAGCTGGGTAGCATTTGTAGCCTAACCCTCAGTTCACCTTGTGGTTTTAGGCAAGGCAATTGGCTGCTGGATGACTCTCTGTAATACAGGTCAAATATTTTATGTAATAGCCACAGAGTTTAAGTGAAGGATTACATTGTTATCATAAGAAGTTACTCTAGAATACTATTTTTGATGTAATGACACTATTTATGAGCCAAAATCCAATTTATAACTTTGGGGCCAGGAGCCAGCTTCCATCAGTTTGCAGAGCCTATGTCTGCAGTGTCTCTAGTGCGCACTTGCTTCAGTCCCAAGCCAATACTTGAGGTCAAATTCTCTCATCACGCATGCTGCCTGCATGCTGGTGTGTGTGTGCTCTGGCTCCAGCCTGGGATTAACCAGCTATCTTTTTATCAAGGACATTGTGGTACAGGGTGGAATCAATACACAAACTGTGCCTCTCAGGCAACAAGGGCGCAATTCACTGGAGGTGCTGGTCCGTGAGCACTCAAGCATGCATCCAGGAGGTATCCAAGCAAACAGAGTCCCTTTAAACCCTGCTTTCAAATACAGTATGAGCTGTGGGGCTTTAACCTGTACCCAAACTTTGCTTCAACACTTGGGAAAACACTTTGGTGTTATGTGTCTATCATACACTCTATAATGATTCTGGTGCTTCATCTCACTTAAAGAGAGCCCACTTTAACCGCATAACATCGCTTCAGAGTCTTCATGTTGTTCAAGCACAACAGCCCAAGTCAAAAGGATCAAACCTAGTGTTTGGTCAGCATTCCTTCAGACCAGTCTCTGTGAGCAGTGCCAGTGAGTTGGGCAGTGCAGGAATCACTCCTGACCTGTTCTATCTGGACCATTCCTGTCTCTTGTAATTACTGCTCGGAGATGTCTACCAGATTCTTCCCAGTGGACATATGGTCTCAGCAGGTAGGAACAGGCCAAAAGTGCTTTACTTGCACTGACGTCAGTGGGGGAAGTGTGACTGAACCCAGCTCCCACCAAAATTAAGCATTACCTGACTGCTGCCTGGGTTTCACAGTAGCTGGCCTACATATTCCTACAGCTTCTGGAGAAATCTTCATCCTTCTTCCCCATAGAAAGTGTCGTTACAGTTCATTAGAGATAATACCAGTCGCCTTCTGCTAATTATTTGTACTTTTGCTTAACGCTGATAAATCTACTTGTTGAGGTATTATTACAAGCTAATATTTGTCTTGTAACACACATTAGTCATTACAATTAGCAAGTAGAAATAGATTAGTCATGCACAAACAATCCATAAATGAAGTATTTATGCCCCTTTGGGGATGGAAAGGAAGGTAATTTGAGCCCTTTATGGTTATCGAGGGAAACCTGACTTGTCTCTTCTATTCACACTGTTGTTTCAGGGTTTCTTCTTGGGCAAGCCAAGCAGCTGTGGGCTTCCTTTAAAGTGCAGTAGCACCACCAGAAGCTGTGGTGTGACTAAATGAAAACCCTCAGGTGTAACCTTTTCCCAAGCCTTTAGTCTGCATTGCTCAAATAAGTGTCACCCTTCTATCAAAAACCTTTTCAGTTCACGTATCTGCTCCTCCTGCGCCTGGAAGAGACCTTCCTTTCACATACAGGAGTTTAGATGTTTGTCTGGGCAGTGAACACGAACGTTTAGCCACGGACTCAGGGCTTCTATCATCTGAGAAAGCAAGCCTGAAGATCCCAAGCTTGGACTGAAGATCCGGATGTCACCACAATCTGTGTGAATGTGTCACCAGTGGACAAAGCTGCTCCCTGCATGGCTACACTCGGAGCAAACCCAAGCTCTCATCAGAAGCTTCCAAGAAAGAGGTTGTGCAATGAGCTTATCAAAAAGGTCAGCCCTCAAGTTTGCTTCGAGGAGTTGCAAAAGGTCTGCACAAGCCAATGATGAGGCAGCTTGCTGCTTTTTATTCCATCTTCCAGTGGCTTTTCTTTGTCGCTTCTACTTAAAATTTATTAAGCCGCTCAAAGGAAATCACTACCTGTGCGTATAAGATCTCCTTAAAAATCACTTTTAAAATAATTAGACCATGCCAATACCTAAGGCCATTTAAAACTGAAACCCTGAGTCATTTCACAGAAGTAAATTTAACAGCCGCATCGGTGTGCTCCTTCCTTCGCTGCTCGCTCACACCGAGCACAGGTAAGGGCACTGCTACCAAGTGCAACAAGTCACCTCATCCCCAGCCCTGCCTTCCTTTATTCTCTTTGCTGTCCTTCACGTGCTCTCATACATGCAGTGAAAACTCCAACAACTCGCAGCTCTTCCTCAAGGAAACATTTTCTCCAACTAAAGAAGTTGTCAGGCTTCCTGAAGGAAGCTGGGAAAAGAGGAATATTGCTTGCTGTGTTTAGCATGAATACAGAAATAGGTCACATATTGTTTCTGAAAGAAATGGATCACCAGCATACGGCCCCCCCAGCTCATCCTGGTCTCCCTCCCTCCACCCCCGTACACAGCGCTTGAAGCATTCCAACATCCTTGCCAAATTCCCTCACAAATACTTTAATTCTTTACGTGCATGTCTCATTCCATCTGTTCCACATGCTCTTTATGCCATTTACATTCACTGGCAGAGACTGTGAGATGACACCACACGGTATAAATTTGCCGTGGTTTAAAGCAGCTTTAGGTAGCGTGTAAGGGAAACGCGGAGCAGCTCCGGGTCCAGGTTTCCTCCTGAAGACCCGGGATAATTCAGCTACAGGGCAAACAGCACATGACTGTCACCAGCAGGTCTTCAGATGAGAGAGGCTGTGCTTGGGAAGCACGACACTATGCCTCCAGGTTGAGCAGAAAGAAAGGTTATCCTTGGCAGGATTTATGGAAGTGACTGCAGGGATAAGGGACTCTGTGCCCAAATACAAAGCATAGGAAAGGGAAACATGATGTAAAGGAGGAATAAAGCAGTGCTCAATGAGAAACATGGTGAGAACACATGTGCAGAGGTTCTCACTTGTGCACCCAGGGTTCTCTCTCTGATCCTTTGCCACAGAAGCTCTCCATAAAAACAGGCCCACAAAGTGTGAGTCTTGGGGCTTTGCCTTTGGGAACATGCAGTTGGGTTTGGGGTTTTGCAGCATGGTCATCCCAACCCACAACCAGCTCGAAGTCTGTCTTGGAATACTTAGGTAGGCCATTGCAAACGTCTGTTGGACACAGAAACAGTTTCCAGGATAAGAATTGAGGGGGGAAAGCAAACCCAAACCCACCAAACCTTCAGGTTTCAATAGAGGAACATTCATACAACCGAAGCAGAGCTCAGCTTGTGTCTGGCCACGTGCCTTGAACTCCTTGAACACATTATAAGAAAGCTTCAAGCCACAAAATTTCACTTATGTTCTAAGTGCTGGGCACAAAACCTTTTCTTTCACCTCCACAAGAGCACCGCAGATAAAAGAAACATGCGCTTAAAGAACATAGGAGAGTCCAACACAAATCCAGCTAAAAAGCACCCCAAAATCAGAAGCCTGGGCATGACCTGCCCTGCAGACAGGGAGAGCACCCTGCAAGGCAAAAGCTCAGGAGACCCTATCATAGGGAATAAGGTATCCTGGCAGTGACAGCAGCAAGGCAGAGAGCTAGAAATCAATGTTGGAAGTACCCATTTCTCAGAGCATTATGCCATGTAATTACTTTACTACTATTACTAAGATGTTGTGAAAATACATCCCATGTTTCATCAGAGGTCAGTCAACACTTCTAACCTTCCCTTTTCCCAAGTGAGACACACAGCTTGCTGACCTGGCAGGACACATTTCTCAATCTTTACCTCCCCATTTTTCTACATTCCATTCCTCATCTCATTTTTCCTGTTTAGCTTGTGTGCTCTACCCTATACCCTGTTATCTCCTCCTCCATCTCTTTCTCCCCTGTCTGTTATTACTACGTTGTCTTTAATGTTTGCCTGCTGCCCTTTGGTGCCAAGCTATATGGTTTTTAACTGCTGTGAAAATGTTTGATTCATACAATTCGCTGTTTCTCTTGCAAAGGAATCATCATCCAAACTAACCTGCATGAGCCTGAGCAAAAGCCGGGAAGGACAGCCTGCCGTTCCCTGCTCACTCACAGTTTGAAGCCTTGTAGGCTATGGCGTAACAAATGAGAAATAAGACAGATAAATAACTGCCCCTGTCTGGAATGGGAAGGGAAGTAGAGACAGTCTCTGTACATTGGATTGTTCATTCAGACTTTTGCACGCTAAACAAAAAATAAGATGATTCTGCAATATCCAAACACTGCCCTTTATATGTGTGCCAAGTCAAGCCAGAATAATATGTCTGATTCCTGACCACTTCATACCTTCCTGTTGGAAAGCAGAGAAGGACCAAGAGCCTGAGGTGATGGCATGAATTCAGCATCATATTTAGTTGGTTTGGTCTAACCCTGAGAGCCACCAGAGGTGTTCATCTGACAGGAAAAGAACTGAAGGGAGATTTAGATTAGACGTTCAGAAAAAATTCTTCCCTGTGAGGGTGCCCAGAGAAGCTGTGGCTGCCCCATCCCTGGCAGTGCTCAAGGGCAGGTTGGACACAGGGGCTTGGAGCAAGCTGCTCTAGTGGAAGGGGTCCCTGCCCGTGGCAGGGGTTGGAGCTGGAGGAGCTTTAAGGTCCCTCCCAACCCAAACCAGTCTGTGATGACTCCATGATTTACAATGGACTTAGCCTGATGCATCACCCTGTCCAAAGGAAGGCACTGCTCCCCCAGCATGGTGTTCAGCACATAACATCCCATAACATCCACGACAGAAGTCTGGTTCCTCAGCAAGGCAGTCACAGAAGACAATGTGCTGCTCCTAGCCCAGCCAGCAAAAACACAGAAGCAAGGCATAGGTATGAAGTCTCTCCTTGCAGCAAGGCTGTGCACCTCCTGCTTCTCAGAGAGCTGTCCTACATGGCTGTCTTAGCTCACCTCTGATGGAACTGGCTCCAAAGCCAAGAATATTCTCCCCAAACTTAGGTACCTACAGTGATCCTTCTAGAAAATGGTCTTTTGAGATGCTGGGGTAATGTCCCCTTTTAGTACAGTAACGAGGAAGTGGGAGACGTCTGCCTGAGGAGGCTCAAACCCACATCTCCCATGAAAATGACCTAAGTACTAAATTACAGGGTGCTCTAGAAGGAGTGTTCTCCACCCATCCTTTGATGATAGTCCAGTGTGCAGCAGCATGGAAGATACACTGGGCAAAAGGAGAATTATTAAAGCCCAGTGATTAAGGCATGGACTTATTTTGCCTTCTTTTACCACTTACCTAATAGCATCATGTAACACACTTTGCAGAAGCACGTTCTTTGATCCACAGAACCACCAAAACTGCAGAGGATTTGCTCATCCCATGCACTTCACAAGTTAATTTCCCTTCTGACGTTATTATTTCACCTTTTAGATTATCTTGGCTTTTTTAGATGCCTAATGCTAACTACTGCATTATCTTTACATTTGAACATTTTATCCTTTGCATGTGCTGCTTGCACGTAATGGAGGAGAGGACAAAATCATGTCATCAGTTCACTGAGTGTACTCTTGGGGGGAACAAAACCAGGAGGATGGGATACAATAAACGATCCAACTCAGTAAAACCATCCAGGTCAGTATGTCGTACTAGCTCCAGTTCATCAAATTTAAG